CCACTACGCCGCCGCCGCCGAGGTAAAATGGATTCTACGTAGCCGCCGCCGATGAAAGGACCGGCTACTGTCGACGCAAAAAAAAAATTGGTTCAATTATTCATCATAGGAAAGTTTGTTCTACGAACGTCAGTTTCTTTCAAAATTTCGATTTGTAGTCTCGTTTATGCAACAAAGTGAAGCTCGTAGAACCAAATTGTCAAAAATTAAATTCGATTCTTCCTGGAGAATGTAAATCAATCCGGAAAATCATTCTCAAATCTCATTCATTGAGCCCTCCAGAGAGAATAAGCTCGCGTGCGAATCTAAAAACCAAAACTCATGCATGAGATAATCATGCATTTTGACTCATTCACACTCACATAGCATAGCATAGCAGATGCGATTGCAGAAAAAAAAAACACTTGGGATTAATGTTTTTTCCCACACACACATTAAATCTACAAAACAAGCATCGCATTATACACCTGGCCACATCCTTAAAATCGCAGGGGAAGGGAGGGAAAGGTCATTCAACATCTACACAGCAAAAAATTAATTTTTTATATCACATCAAAGTGGATGCACTTCAATCGTGTCAAAAATATGGTGTAATATTACGTGTCAAAAAGGACAAAATTGTCATTAGTACAGTGCATGAACTGACATTACGCTGCTTTTATTGCATTTGTTTATAATTGAAGTGCATCCTCTTGGATGTAATATTAAAATTTATTTTTTGCTGTGTACTTAAGAAGGTGCGGGAACCCATACTACCTTCATAGATGTCACTGGAAGGGAAGAGTTATGTTAGTGGGAGAGTGAATTATTAGGAAACTCTATTCGTCAACATAGAGCATTTGATAAACCACTTATAAAAATGGAATATAAATAGATAATATGAAAAGATCTCACCCGAATGGCCACATTGCTGTCACACGGCAGCCTAGTCCTGATTCCTTAATGATCTTAAGATAACATTTTCATGTGTTTTGATGTGTTGTATGAAGTGTTAATTTTTTTTCATGTCAGATTTTAGGCTCTTCCCTGGGGCATCAGAATTAGAGTGTGATCAATCTGATCCTGGACACTTAATACGACCTAAACTGATCAAGTTTGACAAATCATGAGACATAGGGCTAGTACATCCCAATTTAAACCTTAAACCATCCTTCGACTCAATGTACTTAGAGCACTTCCACAAGTGGTAATCGAGAGTTTTCTAAGAATACACCATTCTTGTATTCGTATATTGTTGAAACACAACGACGCGCTACCCATAGAAATAGAGAAAATCACCCCCTTTGCTGGAAATTGGTTATTATATAATTTTAATATGAAGTACTACATCATATGCTAACTCTAAAAGTTAAGGAGTTAAGCGCTCTTCCTTGCAATCAATCATCCGTGTATAGGTGCGTCAGACGGCTTGAATTCAAATTATCGATCGGCGTAGATGGCCTTCATCCAAGATATAAAACGTTATTGCAAGGAATGTGTCCCAAAAAAATTAAACTGCAACGGCCGGGGTGTAAAAATCTTAAAATTATCACGAGCAAACAAACTACTGACCGTCTGACACCGTACGTGCTCCACCAACGAAAATTCTCGTGGAAATAACAACATTCCAACCTTCTGAAAAGAAACAAATTCTTCCCTCGACGAAGACTATTCGGATACTGACAGGAATCCTGAAAATCTGCCCCTATAAAAAGTCCATTCACTATCGTCACGTGGTGAGTTCCTTCGGTTCAGTTGCATTCATTGAAATCCGAGTGCAGCCGAGCGCTCCCCACCAGCGAGTAAAAGTTCATTCGCTTCAACCCCATTGGTGGGGACTAGCTGCTCCCCCTCTGCATAGTACCCCATCCTGGAGAGGACGAAGAAGTAAAGTCATTCGTGCTCTCTCGTTCGCACGTTTCTTCTTATCACTGATGAAAAATATTGGGGCGTTGAGTTTAGTGTCAAAGCACGTGATTTATATTTGTAAATTTGTTTAATTTTTTCTCTCGCGCTCTCTTTTTGCCGTACTCTCACGCACGGCTTGTCTGAGGTCATTTAACCATATTCCCCAGTTCCTGGTGTGGATGAAAAACAAAGATGTTTGGGATACGCCGATAACATTTAAGTGGAAAGTTTAGGCCATTGGCTGCACAAAACAAACAGTTATTTCTAAATTCGATTCAGTTAGATGTTACGCACCCAAACTAGAATGAAACTTTTCAGAGTTTTAAGTGAAGAGGCATGGATGTCAACTCATGTTACCCTACCTGATATGCACACATAAAAGGGAGAAAAAAAACTTTGTTTGGAGCGGATGTCAAGGAAAAATGTTAAAGGAATTTTAATTTTCAGCGTTATTCATACGGCAAGATACTAACGTTGTCAACACAAGCATGGTTGCGAGTGTGAAAAATGTCACTTTCTATTCAATTTGGCACTTATGTGGATAGTAAATTCAGCATAAATTTTAATAAACTGTGCATTACAAAAGTACACGGATAGAAATCAGCTTTTCGCCAATTTATATTATTGATTATTCATAAAATTGATAAGCAAAAGACATAAAAGAAAGTTGATGAAACAAATAAGCTGTAGCATGTATATGATTTAATCAATTTTGAATGTGATGTATGTATTCACATAGGATATACATATATGGTTTCCCAAATAGAAATATTAATCTAATGTATTGGTCAAATTTCATAAATGAAACACATGAATAAAAAAAATAGTGTTGGCAAGCGATACGTATTGTGTTTCTGTAATTATGGCCGAAAAAGTGGGGAAACTTCATATAAAAACTTGCTGACCTCTTACAACTATAAATTTCTACGGCTATTTTTTTTCAATTTTCTTCTTATGTGATAAGCTTAGAAGAATCGTTTGAAGGCTGTTCATAAGCCGCGTAAACACATTATGGGTTGGGGGTTGGGGTCGGTGTTTGTCTACACCGGGAGGGGGAGGGGGATCTAAAACCACTCAAAAATTGTCTACGTAGTTTATGAACAGCCTCTTAGGTATATTTTTTTTCTTTTTAATTTCAGATTTTATTAAACCAATTGCAACTATTGGTTTCATTTGGTTTCGTAGATAGAAAAATACGACCTTGCAAATTTGGAGTTTGGGACAAAGATGTTGAAGTCTAGAAAGAAACAGCAAAATTTTGCCTCAAGTTTCCTGGTTTATATAGGAGGACCATGCGAACAATATGCAGTATTTTTAGCTGACATTGCATCGATCCATTACGCAAGAAGGACGACAAATGAAATCAAGCGCTTATCGATACCTTTTTTTTTCCTTTGATTTGTTTTTTCCGTCGATCTTGTTTTCCGTGCTGAGCACCAATGCTACCGACGTGCCAGGAAGGCAGCTCCCACACCTGGACCCTACCTATCGACCCATCACAACTCATGAACCGGAGACCAACGGCTTTACTTCCCATCCGAAGGAAGGCGTGATCAGAGATGTTATGCCTCAGAACATCCCGGCGGCGCAGACTGGGATTGAACCCAGACCTGCTGCGGTGAGAGAGATAATCACGCTTACCACTACACCACCGGCACCGTTAAAATTATCGATACCTGTAATACATAAGAATTCAACCCTTCGCATGATTCTCAACTGCTCAAATTCCAACAAAAAGATCAACTCTTATTATACAAAAAAAAACATGGAAATATTGATCGAAAAGGCAAAGGAATCGATAAAATTTAAACTAACAAAAAAAAATCCAACACTTTGGCTAAGATCCCAGCTAGCTGTCGCAAAGTCACGAAAAAATGTCTTGAGTTTTTTTCCTAGTAAAACAATAAGCACTATTTATAATCAAAAGTTATCGTTTGGTTATATTTTAAAGGTTTTTTTTTTCGGTCGATTTTTATCAAAAGTTGTCTATTTTAATTAATGCAAACGTTATAAATAAACTATTACCACTGGTTGGAAACTAACGATTTTAACGCATCGATTAGCTTGGGACCGAAGATAGTACCAGAGCTGAGCCAAAAAGCTATGCACTTTTCTTCGGGACCTTTCGGTCTTAGAGTTACCTCTGTGTCTTAGAGTTACCTCTGTGTTATTACTGCATTGTTCTGTAATGCTTATGACTCATACTAGACCACAAAAGCCGATTATGAATTCATTCAATGATCTACAAGTGAAGGTAACCGGAAGACACTCGAATGGTATCATTGAGAGTCGATGTTTTATAAGAGACGCGTGGTGAGAATAAAAGTAAATCTGGTTGCACGACCAACTAAGTTATTTTGTCTGCAAGGTTTGGCAATCCGCAATTTTGTGTTTACGTCTAGTGACTTTTAATTTGAGCGACCGTCGTTTAAGGCCTGTACTCGAAAAAAATGGACCAGACAAAAGTATTCGCCAAAAATTTATTTTAAGTCGGATTTTCTTGAAACTTTCAGGGAATGAACTAATACATATGGATTATGTTTCGGCATAATAACTTTATTCAATTTCCTTTCCATCGCTGAAAGCCCGTGTTGGTACGGCCAAATAAAAAGGCGCGGCACTGTTATTGAACAGCGTTTATTTCCTTTTAGGATCGCTTCAAACTAGAAATTTAAGTTAGGGTTAGTTTAGCAATGTAGGTTTAGATTTATAGGTTACCACTTACAAATCAGTGGCCCTTCCTTCACAGGCCTTTTCACTGGCTGTCCAACTTAGCTTTAGTCCTAGTTTTAGTGTTAGTCTAGGTATAAATCAGTATTATTAGGTTTAAATTCACCCTGTGGATTTGGGATTATTTACCGTACGCAACAATAGGAAACTAGATTAAGAAACGAACTATTTAGGCACTAGTTCAAGAAAAATACTTTTCACCCGCGTGATTCTTCGTCTGCTTGACTCAAAGGATGACGTCTTTTTTTAGGTGACGTTTATGCTGTCGATCATCCCGTCGCACATAGACTGGCGGTCTGCTAGGCACAGTTGATTGGACCGGTTGCCAGTTCGTCGACCGGTATTGAAGTTAGCGGTTCTCGACGTTAGGAATAGCAGTGCGGTCATGGAGTCCAGTGGACCGCACCCGGAGGAGCAAGTGCCCCTGTGGCAACATCCTCCTCCGGGTGCGGTCCACTGGACTCCATGACCGCACTGCTATTCCTAACGTCGAGAACCGCTAACTTCAATACCGGTCGACGAAGAACTCCTCTCGTTGTCTTGATCATAGCTTGGCGAACGTGGCCGTCTGGTGCCCTGATCGATTCGATCACGATGCCCCGCACCCAGCCGTTCCGCTTGCCTTCGTCTGCTATCAGCACAAGGTCACCCACTTCCACACGTCGAGCTTCGTCGAACCACTTAGTCTGCTTCCGAATCACCGGCAGGTATTCTTTCAGCCAGCGCTGCCAGAACCGGTTGAGTTGTCGCTGGATGCGGTCCCATGAGTCCCGAGAAGCCCGCTGTTGAACTTCGATACCCACGCTTGGCTGCTTTACCCCATTCGAGCTCCCGAGTAGAAAGTGGTTCGGCGTAAGAGCGTCTGATTCCGCTGAATCAAGTGGTATGTACGTAAGTGGTCTGGTGTTTACAATGCCCTCTGCCTCCACGATCAAGGTCTGCAGCTCTTCATCGTTGAGTTTTCCTTCGCGGTACGCATCCCCTATCGCCGTCTTCACTGAACGGACGAGTCGCTCCCATGCACCGCCCATGTGCGGAGCGCTTGGCGGAATGAAGGTCCACTTCGTGTTAGCACTGGTGAACGTTGCTGACACTCCTTCGTTGATCTGCTCACGGAGCTGTCTTTCAGCCCCATGGAAGTTCGTAGCATTGTCACTGAAAAACTCCACCGGTGATCCTCGGCGACAGACAAACCGTCGGATGCAGCAAATACACGACGCAGCTGATAGGCTGTATGCCACTTCAAGGTGAACGGCGCGCACAGTCAAGCAAGTGAAGAGCGCAATCCACCTTTTCACATTCGAGCGGCCCTGCTTGACTAACAATGGGCCGAAGTAGTCCACTCCTACGTAGCTGAATGGACGGTCGTGTACGGCTAACCGTGCTGGTGGCAGTGGTGCCATCGGAGGAATAGTCGGGAGTGCCTTACGAATTTTGCAGAATTGGCAGCTTCGTCCAATCTGCTTTACCACCGATCGCAGTTTCGGTATGATGAACAGCTGGCGGACTTCGTTCACTACCGTTTCGGAGTTTGCATGACGGTAGAGCCGATGATAGCGTGCGACCAGAAGTTCCGTGCACCGATGCTTTCTTGGCAGGATTACTGGAAAGCGCACGCTGTGATGAATATCCTTCGCCGCTGCAATCCGGCTGTTTTGGCGCATCAAACCCCGTTCATCCATCATTGGCATCAGTTGGTAAACGATGCTCGATCTGTCAATCGATTCCTTCTTGTCCTGCGGTAGTACTTGATTATTTTTAAGCGTCGTTACCTCATCCGCAAAGGCTTCTCTTTGGACCTGCTTCAGGACTTCATTTTCGGCATCATCCAGCTCAGGTTGAGTTAATCGACCACTGCGTCTTTCTCCCTTCTTGGTCGCGTTGAAAATGAATCGTAGCACGTAAGCCATACTACGCTGCAACCTCTCCCATTTAGAGAAACGCTCGTAGGCGATCACAGGTTCCCAAGTTGCGTGAAAGAGTACTGACGATCGAACTTCTTCGGCCGTATCCACGACTAGATCCGTAGAATTCGGCCATTCATGTTCCGGGAAGCGCAAGAACTCCGGTCCGTTGAACCACTTGCTGTCACTACTGAAGTAAGGTCCACTTCCCCACTTTGTTGCCTCATCCGCTGCGTTAAACCCCGACGGAAGACATCTCCACTCATCGACTGTTGTATTTTCGAGAATTTCGCCGACCCGGTTGGCCACGAACGGTCGATAGTTTCTCGGATCTGCGCGGATCCACGAAAGCGCGACGGAGCTGTCCGTCCATAGGACTCGTCTTCTGATGGTAATGGAGTGGTTTGCTTGCACGAACTTCATCATTCTTGTTCCCAGGAGACATCCTTGAAGTTCCAGCTTCGGTATAGTCATTGGCTTGAGTGGTGCTACTTTGGCCTTTGCAGCGATCAGTGTGCACTGGGGTGTGCCGTCAGCGGTGATTGTCCTCAGGTACAGCGCACAGGAATACGCAAGCGGACTGGCATCTACGAAGACATGAAGTTCAGTAACTTCATACGAACGTGCTGACGCTTCTGGGAAATAGCAGCGAGGAATGCGAACGTTCGCGATGTACGAAATCATCTTGATCCACCTGCACCAGTCTCCATACTGATTTCCACCGACTTCTTCATCCCATGCGGTTCCAGCGCGCCACAAGTCCTGCACCAGAATCTTGCCGTGGATCAGAAATGTGGCCAATAAACCCAACGGGTCGAACAGAGTCATGACGCAGCGTAACACTTGCCTCTTCGTTGGGATTTTGTCATTTTCCAGGAGAGATTGAACTTCATCGCTCATTCGAGTGCTGAACGATAGTTCGTCCGTTACTGGGTCCCACAACATCCCGAGCACACGTTCAGTAGTGGTGCTCGTAGTTATCAAGCTTTTACTGGTAGCTGCTTGAGTCTCCCCAAGGTGCTCCAGAACACCTTCGTTGTTCGAGATCCAGTTCCTCAATTCGAACCCACCGTTCCGGAAAATCTGACGTACTTCCTCAGAAATACGAAGAGCTTCTTCTTCCGACCCAAAGCTATCGAGGTAATCGTTCACGTACGTGCTCTGCAGTATTCCTTCCGCTGCTCTGGGATATCGAACACTGTGCTCCCGAGCGTTCGTATTTTTCACGAATTGTGCCGACGCTGGTGAGCATGTCGACCCAAACGTTGCAACATCTTCCAGGAATATTTCCGGGTCCTGACTTGGATCCAAACGCCACAGGATTCGCTGTGAATGCTTGTCAGCCGCGCGCATCAGAATCTGCAAGAACATTTCCTTAACGTCAGAGCACACCGCAATCTTGAACTGCCGGAAGCGGAACAATACTCCTAACAGCGACACCAACTGGTCCGGCCCTTTTAGCAGCATGCTGTTTAGCGAAACTCCGTCCACCTTGGCAGCAGCGTCCCAAACGATGCGTATTTTCCCTGGTTTCTTCGAGTTGGTCACAACCCCCACAGGGAGGTACCAGATTCTGCGAGGATTCGCATCTTCGAGTTCGTCCGTTGTGGCTTTATGAATGTAACCCTTGCTTACGAACTCTTGCATCTGCCGGAAAACGTTCTCTTTCAACGCTTTATCCCGTGACATCCTCCTTTCCAGGCATTCCAGCCTGCGAAGTGCCATCGTGTAGCTATCTGGCAGCTCCGCATCGTCATCTTTCCACAGCAGTCCAGTTTCAAATCGCTCACCGACACGAACCGTTGTCTGCTCCAGCAAATCCAGTGCTCGCTGTTCTTCTTTAGATCGTAGGGTGACATTTCCTGCTCCCACTTCCTCGAGATCGTAGAACTGCTTGACAGTATCATGTAGTTCCTTATTCGTCGTGCACTCGCAAACGTGGAAACTGAATTCACTTTTCGATCCAGGCTGTTGCTTACCGTAGACGCACCATCCGAGTCTGGTCTTTACCGCAACTGGTCCATTTCCGTTACCTTCCCTCGACTTCAATGGAACAGCTAACTGTAGATTGTCAAGTCCTATCAGCAGCTTAGGTACGGCGTTCTTGTAGCTCTGTATCGGTAGCTGCTTGAGATAGTCAAACTGCTTCACGGCTTCCACCAATTGGAAGGTCTGGCTGGGAAGGTTCAGATTATTCACGGTACGAACGTTCGACATCTTGAACCGTTTCTGCGAACCGGCTCCACCGATAGTGATGGTGATAACTTTCGACTTTTCTTCGATTCTGGACGTATTACCCGTCCATCGTAAGCACAATGGCTGAGTAGTTCCATTTACTCCGAGTTGCTCTGCAATATCGTTCTCCATCAGAGTCAGCGATGATCCTTCGTCCAAGAAAGCATACGTATTCACCTCACCAGTTTGCCCATAAAGCGTAACAGGCACGATCCGAAACAGAACGCTTGATCCGAGGTACTGATGAGTATGACTCTCTGCCTGTTCTGTTGGCGCAGTAGCTGCCGCAGTTCGTCTTGTTGAATGCAGCAACGGATGATGGCGATACTGACAGCCATCGATATTGCAACGGTTGTTGCTTCTACACGACCGCCTTCCGTGACTGAATAGACAAATCTGACATAGCGACAAAGCTCTAACTTTTCGCCAGCGATCGTCGACATTCAAAATCTTGAATCCCGAGCACTCGCGCAACCGATGCCCCACCTTACTGCAGAAGATGCATTCGATTCGCTTGCTTGCTACCGACGGCTGATCATCAACGGCGTTCCCGGTGTGGGAATTAACGTACCCTCTCGGCTTTGGTTTGTCCTTGCTCCTGCAAGACTCCGGTTCGAACAGCACCACACTAGATGCATCACTGACGACGTTCTCCATGTATCTGCTGAATGTCTTCAGATTCACCACGCCGAGACTTCGCTTGTACCCGGCCCACATAAGCTTCTGGTCGGCTGGTAGCTTTCCGATAAGTTCCTGAAGAAGCATCGGATTCGACAGGTGTGCATGTTCGTTGGCTGCTTCGATATGGTCACAAAGGGCTTGCACTGCCATTCCATATTCGATCAGCCCTTCCAGCTTATCCGACTTTGGAGCGGGAATCTTCCGCACCTTTTCCAGCAACGCGTTAATCAACAGCTCCGGGCGTCCATATCGCATACGAAGTGCCTCGATTACCTGTGGTACCGCAACAGGCAATACCAACCTACTGCGCACCGTCTCGAGAGCGGGTCCTTTGAGGCACCGTTGTAGTCGGAGCATGTTCTCCCCGTGCGTGTACCCACACGACGCCGTCGTATACTCGTAGTTGGAGATGAACATAGGCCAATCCGCGGGATCACCCGCAAACTGTGGCAGATCGCGTGCCAACGATTGACGTGCGGCAAGCTGATGCGGTGACGGACCGTTCTGGTTAGCGTTCAATCGCTGCTGCTGCTGCTGCTGCCGATGATACCACTCCTCCAACGACGTAGGCTGTACGTTCATATTCGTTGTACGCGCGAAGGGTTCACGCTGCTGTTCGTTGTTGACGAAGGGGATGCGTTGCTGTTGGCGACTATCGAGGGTATTTTGCCCGAAATCGCGAGAATCAAACCGTTGTTCTCTCGTAACAATGGGAACCGTTTCGAAAGGGATCGCGAAGGACTTATGAGGGACATTACCACCGTACATTTTATTGAGGAAACCACTATCGTTAACATTACTCTTACCTGCACCGCCAACCTCATTGGCATGCGTTTTCGGGTAGGCACCAAGGTTCCTTGGCTGCTGATTACCTTGTTGTACGTCGCTGGATAGATTCGGGAAATTCCTCTGACCGATCATTGGACTGATGTTCCAATCGGTTGGGTCTAATCCAAGCTGCCTTTTGCACTGCTGCAGTTCACGTCGCAGTTCCTCCATTTGCTGACTGGTTGGAATTGATTGTAGTTGGCAGCGTTCAAGCTGCTTTTGGAGATCGTGTAAAGTTGCCACTATGTCGCGATCGTTTACATCCGCGGGCTGAGCGACTGCTGGTGGATTCGATTGTCCACCCACCGCGCCGTCTTCTTGCTCCGGATGATTGCTGATCCAATCGGCAACTCTTTCTCGTCGTTCGCGATTGCTTACCCGACTCCGGGATTCAATCGCCTTGTCCATCAGCTCCAACTGCTCGTCCAAAAATTTCTTCTGCAGTTCATGCTCCATTCGTTGTCGTTCGAGCTCCTGGCGTTGCTTCAACAGGGCAAGATTGCGTTGTACGTTGGTTGTACAGCTGCTCGAAGAGATGTTTCCTGGTGGGGGTGGATTTGGTGGTGGTGATGCAGTGCAGTTCGAACACATCCACGCTCGGTCACTGACGGACTCCGTCACACCAGCACACGAAAAGTGCCACCACAGATCACACCCATCGCACTGCACATAATTTTCATCGGCATCTGGATTGTCGCAGGCTACACAATCGCCGTGCTGTACCATCTCCGGATCTCTTGCGGGAACCGGCAACTGCTCGATGATTTTTTGAAGATGTTGGTACGGCCAAATAAAAAGGCGCGGCACTGTTATTGAACAGCGTTTATTTCCTTTTAGGATCGCTTCAAACTAGAAATTTAAGTTAGGGTTAGTTTAGCAATGTAGGTTTAGATTTATAGGTTACCACTTACAAATCAGTGGCCCTTCCTTCACAGGCCTTTTCACTGGCTGTCCAACTTAGCTTTAGTCCTAGTTTTAGTGTTAGTCTAGGTAGAAATCAGTATTATTAGGTTTAAATTCACCCTGTGGATTTGGGATTATTTACCGTACGCAACAATAGGAAACTAGATTAAGAAACGAACTATTTAGGCACTAGTTTAAGAAAAATACTTTTCACCCGCGTGATTCTTCGTCTGCTTGACTCAAAGGATGACGTCTTTTTTTAGGTGACGTTTATGCTGTCGATCATCCCGTCGCACATAGACTGGCGGTCTGCTAGGCACAGTTGATTGGACCGGTTGCCAGTTCGCCGGGCGGTTGAGCAAGTGCCCCTGTGGCAACAGCCCGCACCTTTCCCTTAAGACCCCTCATTACATTTTGTGCAATGGTGGAGCCGACCTTTTTGGTCAGTTTCATCCATTCTTTCTTCAACTCCAGCTCGTTCTTACCTTGGACGATTTTTGAACTGTGGCCTTCATTATGGCCCAAAATCTTTCCACCGGACAAATCTCTGGTGAATTTGGGGGGTTGGCGGTTTTTGGTACAAAAACAACGTTATTGTCTCTGTACCAATCTAATGTCGATTGCGCGTCATGGCATGATGCGAGGTCCAGCCAAAATAATGTCTCGCCTCCGTGGGACCGCAGGAAGGGCAATAGACGCTTCTGGAGGCACTCGGTGCGGTAAATTTCGCTGTTGACAGTACCCATTGTTATGTACGGTTTACTCAGTTTACCGCATTGGCATATGGCTTGCCAGAGCAAGTATTTTTTGGCGAATTTGTCCAATTTCTTCTTCCTTATGTCTTCCGGAACATCAAACCGTGATTTGGCAACGTAGAACTCCAGCCCCGGTATCTGCTTTGCGTCTGTCTTGATGTCATCCATAACCATACACATCGGTTTCGTTAACCACTCTCGATACAGCTTCCTTGCGCGGGATTTGGCCGCCGTGTTTTGTTGATCACGCCGGTTCAGTGCCTTCCGGACCTTGAATACACGAAGCCCAGCTCGTTTCATGGTTTGCTGAACGAACCAGGCGGAACACTTTGCCTTCAAAGCCGCGTCGCGAATCGAATTTTCATCATTTTTAACCCACGGATAAAAAAGTTACACACGGATAAAAATGGTGCATTTTTTCGAGTACAAGCCTTACTTCAGTGTCACAGTAAAACGAATACTTTTTGAGTGGTAAGTGGTAGTGATTAAGTGAAAAATTCCGTTGAAATGCACAGCATCCTTCTGTAAAAATATACCGAATAAAACGTGACAAAATCTCAGCTTCTTCTGGTTTCTCAAAAACAGCAGCGTCAGAGAAAGTAGTTTCAATTCAATTGGTTTCCTCCCGGTCAAAGCATGACAGAAAACGATTGTGTAGCGTTATTAATCTACCATATTGATAATTGAATTGTCGTTTCGATAAAAGTCGTTTTTAAACTGATTTATTATATTTCAGCTACATTTCAATTATGATTTAGATTCGAATGGTGGCATCGGGTAGCGGAATACTATTAGCAGCTCCGGGTGCAGTTTCTGTTTTTGAAACTGTTTCGGATTTGAACGAGGGAACAGATAATAAAATTTATGATGATGTAAAAGATTATAATAGGCCTGACATGATTTAAAATTATTTAAATCTCAAAAATTTAATTTCTACCTCAATCTCAATACGCCTCACGCTTTTTCATCGTGAAGTACTCGTGCTTATTTACATTGCTCGATCGAAGCGGCGCCGGTGGTTTAGTGGTAAGTGTGATTATCTCTCACCCCAGCAGGTCTGGGTTCAATCCCAGTCGGCGCCACCGGGATGTTCTGAGGCATAACATCTCTGATCCCGCCTTCGGAAGGGAAGTAAAGCCGTTGGTCCCCGGTTCATGGAGTTGATGGAACGATAGGTAGGGTCAAGGTGTGGGAGCTGCCTCCCTGGCGTCGGTAGCATTGGTGCTCAGCACGGAAGACAAGATCGATGGAAAACAAAATCAAGGAAAAAATATTGCTCGATTGGAACCGCGTTTGACGGTTCGATTGGAACATTTGGATTCAGTCTTAGCGCGTCTCTGGTAACATTGTGAATTGAACTATTTTGGTGGTACGCTCGAAATGGTATAAGATTTTGGTAACCGGCTCTTTTTAAAAGTTCTTGCGATCGTTTTTTGAGGATAAGATTAAATTACCCTGATGATGACTACTTTTTAGCTTATTATAACAGGAACCTCTTAGCAATTTGAATGTAATTGTTTGGTTTTGTATTTTAACAAAAGATTTAAAATATATATATATATATTTTTGGGGCTTTTCCTCAGACACAAAATATCGAGCTATAATTTTTGAAAAATGTTCCTGAGGTAGTAAACAGGTCCTTTCAAAAAATAAGTTATGAGATAAAATGATCTCCAGACTTGTAGAAAGTAAAGTTCCTCCGAGGGGGGCGACACATCTAAATCTCAAGTTAAGATGCTCAACAAATCTCACACTATCGAATCAATCTTCGAAAAATCTTCTTTCATTTGTCGCATCTACTTGCATCGAGCATCATCTTTTTGCAGGAAATCTTCAGAATCGTCATCAATCTTCTTTCTATCTACTCAGCGTGAGCACAGCTAGCCACAGCACAACACAATCTTTTCTGCATCGTAGATAGAGTCGTCCCCCTAGAGTTCCTCTAACTAACAGTACACGCTAACTTGAAAGTACCCATTAATTGTTGAAAAAGACCCATTTTGAAGAAAAGTGGCTTAACTCATTAAATGAGTAAATTTTTTACCCATTAATGAGTATCTGTTACCCATTAATGAGTAATTGTTAATCATTAATGGGTAACAGATACTCATTAATGAGTAAAATTGTTTAATCATTAATGAGTTAAGCCACTTTTCTTCAAAATGGGTCTTTTTTTACTCATTAATGAGTACTTTCAAGTTAGCGTGTATGGACGTCTGTCAAAAGTTGTTCCACCGTCAAAATGCACTGCTTTGCTGGATTGGCACAACTTTTTTTTTCAGTTTTGTGGTGACAGCTGTCCATTCTTTACGCACTCTAGTAGAAAGTAGATCAGTTCCACGCCAAATCAAGACCAACAATTGAAATGGCCTTAACTCCATTTTGTAAACAAACCTTGTAAGGCCATTTTCTCGCGAACCGAAGTCCGCAAAGGCAAACCAACATAATGAACGGGTAGGATAAATTCTCCTCTACCAGATTGTGGTTTAGGTTTGCAAATGTAGTTTTCGGTTTGCAAAAAAATGGCCTTACAAGGTTTGTTTACAAAATGGAGTTGAGGCTATTTCAATTGTTGGTCTTGAAATGACGAATCGACTTCAAAGACGTCCAAAATATATAGCCTACTATTTCAAAATTTATTGGAAATCATGAAAATGGAAAAAAAAATGTTTTTTCATTACGTTAAAATGTGTTTAATTAACATTGGTTGTAGAGAATTGATTGGACTGTACAAAAAAATACACACTATAAAAAAATGTTTAATTTTTGAAAAAATAAAAATAAATACAAAATGTGAATTTCTCTTCATTCCGACGTACGCTTTTTTCCTTTTTTTTTCTGCGATAACCCTATGTCATAACACAATTTATAAAGATTGAATCAAGCAATTTTAAATAAAAAGTTCCTGAAAGAAAAACTTTCAAGAATTTTTCAAATTTGATGAATTAGAATTAATAAGAATATTACAATAATTTAATTCTTTAGGTTATAACTAATCAAAATTATTTTGATGACTTACATCCTAAACGTTGCTGTTTTTGAGTTATTGTAAAAATGGTTCCGGGTAATTTGGCCGATGCCGTTTAGCTGAATGCCGTTTGACCGAATGCTATTTGGCCAAATGGATCGTTTAGCCGAATGCCATTTGGCCAAATGGGTCGTTTGGCCGAATGCCGAACAACAAAACTCCAAAGAGCTGCTTCATGTTTGAAAGAAGGAAAACTCATCTCTTTTTAATTCTGAATTGTCATACATTTATGACAAGCTGCATTTACTAGAATAGAATAACTAGAACAAAAAACTCAAAAGAACTGCTCATGTTTAAAGGAGGGAAAAATATCTAAAAAAAATTAATTTTTTTTTTTTTTATTTTAAAACAAGCTGCGTTTACTCTACAACAAATAATAAGATCATCTAACTCCAAGGAACTGCTCATGTTAAAAAGGGTGGCTAAAAAATACCAATAAAATATTGATAAAAGGTTATCAGTATAATTTCAGTTTTATACAATATACAATTTTAACATAAAATCCCATATTTATAATGTCAAAAAACCATAATTGTGCAAAGTAAAAAAAAAAGTCATCTGGGCTGCCATTAGTAGTGTTCAAACATTGGAAATCTCTTTTCAAGTATTCGGCTAAACGGCATTCGGCCAAATGACCCATTCGGCCAAACGGCATTCGGCCAAATGGCGTTCGGCCAAATGGCGTTCGGCCAAATGGCGTTCGGCCAAATGACGTTCGGCCAAATAGCGTTCGGCCAAATGGCATTCGGCTAAATAACCGGACACCGTTAAAATAATGTTTGGAATATTGTTATTTTCTGGAAAATAAGCCCTTTTCAGAAGTTTCTCGTGATTATCCATCTACAGCAAAGATGTGCAAAAAATTCCCTGCAAGTCACCCTTTGGCATCAAGAAGATTGGACGAACTTTTTTTATGCAAAGGATGAGTAAAAGAAGAATATTATATTCAATGTGGAAACACAACATGATTGTCCGTTTCTACTTTCAGGTTCCAACTCATGTCTTAACATTTTGTAAAATTTGCTCAATTAAAAATGTAAACGATTATTTTAATCGTTGTTTTCTTGTGACTTCCATAGGCCCATGCCTACAAACTACACCATATTATAAAGCATTTCTCGATGAACATTTCAAATGGTCCTATCTGCTTTGATCGATTCTCTTCATCGACTTTCTCTTTTCATAACCACTGCTATGCAAACAGATTTCGCGCTAATTCTACCATCTAGTTTGATAAAGGAGGTTCTTTTCTAGCGTCCAAAGCGTCAAATACAAGAGGGGAAGGTTTTGCAGCTGAGTTATTGACGAAAGAGAAAGTCGATGAAGAGAATCGATCAAAGCAGATAGGACCATTTGAAATGTTCATCGAGATTTGTTGGTCTGTGTGACCATGTATTGTACAGGTAGAAACAGAAAATATTCCATAAGGTTAGTTTACTCAAACAGGTAGAAAGCAAATTGTATTGCAATGCATACCTATTCAAAGATGGGCTTTAGTGTTGGTATCAAATATATATTGCATAACTACGTGTTCAGTTAGATGGGTTGAAAATTCAAAATAATAAACTATCTTCTTGAGCAATTGAAGT